GCAGATGCTTCAACCACCACATTGAGCAAAGCCATGGATCGGTGTCCTACCAGCATCTCTGCACCGTGCCACGTTCGCAGGGGATGCTTGTGGGTTGATTAATCAGACCTTAAATTTATGCCATCCGAAAGGAGAGCAGCTTCTGGGGCACAGGCACTGCTGCCCCTCAGCGGGGTCCATGGGGCTCGGCGTGGTGCCTCCTGCCCCATCTCCCCCATTTCTAACCAGCCCATCTCCAGGCTGCCCAAGGAAGTGTTTTTTCTACCAATGTAGGATAAGAACCAGCCCGTGCCCCATGAAACTGCCCCCTTTATTTAACCCACGGATTCTCCGGCAGTTTCCCCCCCAAGCCCAGACAGCATCGCACCCCCCTTTTCAAAACATCTTCTACCAGCGACCATAAAACTACAAGGTATTTTTATTCTGGGGCTCTCGGGCCTCCGTTCAATTCCAGGCTTGAATATCCCCTTTCAGGAATCTCACATTTTCAGGAGGACGGCAGCAGCACAACAACCTCCCTTCACAAAGGACATGGGGTTCCTCAGGGCTTTTGCTTAATTACACCATTACGTATGGCATTTTCACAGCTCCCTTGCAGAGGAAGCACAAGTGGGAGGCAAAGGGAGATTTTTTTCTTTCTATGGGAAGAACAGTATTTAGCTCTGCAAAATACAGAGGTTTTTTCCTTATTTCCATCAGGCTCCTCTTCTCCCAGACCTTCCAGTTGCTCCAATCTGAAGCTCCTTTCCAGCCTCCTCAGAAGCCATCCCAAAAAGCGCAAGAAGCTGAAGGGACTTTGGATACAATGCTGGAATCCTCATTTCCTTCTGCACTAAGAGCCGCTCCCCAGCTCCACCACAAGCTTTTACACGAATTTCCAACATTTCCTAACCAGAACGCCCATTCCCAGGACACACTGAGTGTCCTCAGCGTCCTTTGAGGGTCCCCAAACGCCCCCCTCCAGGCTCAGGGCACAGCCTGGAAGGAGCAGGCAGTCATTAATGCATGCTTCTTCAATCACAGCCTTCTCCACCTTTTTTTCCCCAAAAAAAGATTCCAAGCCATTTCCCTCCCTCCCCCGCTTTTTTCGCCAGCGAAGTTGAAAACTGCTTTTAGTTAATAGGAAACATGACATGTTCCCTGGGACGCCGTGTTGAGTACATCACACACACACCAAGGGAAAGGAAAAAAAAAAAAAAACCAAAAAGAAGAAAAAAAAAAGGAAAAGAAGATGCTGTTGCAACAGATGTGGAGATGTGAGCTCTCTGGGAGACGTTGCTGTGTTTTGATAAGAATATGCGTTGAGTATTTCATTTACAGGGCAATCCTAGGACTTTATTTAGAAGCATATTGGCCAGACAGCTGTAATTTAGAACATACTGTATTCCTAACAGTTCCCAATTATAAACTCCTTCAGCTTTAACTTATAGTAACCACGGCTCCTTCTATTTTGGAAAGCTAAAAGCACCATTTCTCCCCTTCATTCAGCTCTCGCCCATCAAGAGCTTCCACTGCACAAACGCAGCTCGAGGAGGGTCCCAAATTCAGCATCCCTCGCACATCCCGGCTCAGGGACCACACTCACCGTTTGCTCCATATTTAATTGTTGGATTTTGGGGGACGGTGGGTGGGGTGGGGACCAGCCACCAAGGGAAAGGGAGCCATCCGGGGGGGTTAGGAGCCGCCTTCTGCCAGCAAAGCCGGCTGTAAAAATGGCTGCTGACGTTCCGGCCGGCTTCTGCTGCAAGGCTGGCTGCCTAGATCCTGCCCAGGAGCCTCACGTGCACAACGTGTCCCCTGTTCTTTGACCTCACACCTTTTTTTTAATTTTTTTTTATTTTTATAAGGATTAGGGCGTTCAGGTGAAAATAATCAAGTTCTTCACTGGAGGAGAAGCGGTGCTTCACGATGCCGTTAGAGCTCTCCCCGCACCATGAGCTCGCCTACGAAATATCCCCCTTGATGGCTCCACAAGCAATTCCGCTGACATTATAAAATGTTTTGCAAGGAACAGAAGGAGCCAGCCCCGTGTCACTGCAGAGCCATCCGGGGGGGTTAGGAGCCGCCTTCTGCCAGCAAAGCCGGCTGTAAAAATGGCTGCTGACGTTCCGGCCGGCTTCTGCTGCAAGGCTGGCTGCCTAGATCCTGCCCAGGAGCCTCACGTGCACAACGTGTCCCCTGTTCTTTGACCTCACACCTTTTTTTTAATTTTTTTTTATTTTTATAAGGATTAGGGCGTTCAGGTGAAAATAATCAAGTTCTTCACTGGAGGAGAAGCGGTGCTTCACGATGCCGTTAGAGCTCTCCCCGCACCATGAGCTCGCCTACGAAATATCCCCCTTGATGGCTCCACAAGCAATTCCGCTGACATTATAAAATGTTTTGCAAGGAACAGAAGGAGCAGATGAACTCTTTAAAAAAAAAAAAAAAAACAAAAACAAAGCTCCTGCCTCCATGCAAATCTCACAATCTCACACCAGTTAAGAAGAGGGGAGAAATAAAGCAAGCGTGATGCGTGTGGGGAACTGGCTCTAAAGAGGCTGCTTTTCAGCGACTGCCATAAGGTGGCAGTGGGTCTTTAAGGCTACCTTACACCTTTCACACAAGCACAATAGGAAATGATCACCCGAGTGGTTTTCCAGCATCTGAAACTCTTTAACTCCAATTTCCTCATCGAGGGAGCCAGCCCATACATGAGAACTTGGGGCTGAGATCACCACAAGGAGGAAAAGCCACCAGGATCAATGTGTAAAGCCCCAAACGCAGCCCCCATCTGAGCCAAAGAAAATCCAGACCCTCCCCTTCCCGTGTACAATCACGACGGCATTTATTTTACATCAAGGCTTTTCTTTGTGCATTCATCCAACCACAAAGAAGCCGGCGTCCATTGAGGAGCAGGAGAGGTTCTGCATGGCCAGCAGGCCGGGGCTCCAGCAGACTGGAGCATACCAGCAGCACCAGTAAGGGAGATGGTCCCCAGCTGGGTGCAGAAGGAGCAGATGAACTCTTTAAAAAAAAAAAAAAAAACAAAAACAAAGCTCCTGCCTCCATGCAAATCTCACAATCTCACACCAGTTAAGAAGAGGGGAGAAATAAAGCAAGCGTGATGCGTGTGGGGAACTGGCTCTAAAGAGGCTGCTTTTCAGCGACTGCCATAAGGTGGCAGTGGGTCTTTAAGGCTACCTTACACCTTTCACACAAGCACAATAGGAAATGATCACCCGAGTGGTTTTCCAGCATCTGAAACTCTTTAACTCCAATTTCCTCATCGAGGGAGCCAGCCCATACATGAGAACTTGGGGCTGAGATCACCACAAGGAGGAAAAGCCACCAGGATCAATGTGTACGGCCCCAAACGCAGGCCCCCATCTGAGCCAAAGAAAATCCAAACCCTCCCCTTTAAGGAGGAAAAGCCACCAGGATCAATGTGTAAAGCCCCAAACGCAGCCCCCATCTGAGCCAAAGAAAATCCAGACCCTCCCCTTCCCGTGTACAATCACGACGGCATTTATTTTACATCAAGGCTTTTCTTTGTGCATTCATCCAACCACAAAGAAGCCGGCGTCCATTGAGGAGCAGGAGAGGTTCTGCATGGCCAGCAGGCCGGGGCTCCAGCAGACTGGAGCATACCAGCAGCACCAGTAAGGGAGATGGTCCCCAGCTGGGTGCGGGGCTGGGATGTCAAACGGGCTCAGAAGGCGCCGAGGAAGCGTTGGGTACGCAAGAAACGCGGAACCGGGCAAGAAATAAGCAAGTTACTTTAGGTACTAAAGTGACTCATCGTGCAGATTGACCCCAACTGTGTGGGACCATCACCTGGGATGGAGCAATCACATAAAAATCAGTGTTTTGCTCTCTCTCCCAGTCACCCCTTGAACCGCAATAAAAAGCAGCCCGAGTTGCCCTGAAGAAAAAGCCGGTCTGTGTCACTGCACCCAGGCTAAAGATAGACCGTGAGCACAGAGGTTTCTGTTAATAAAACAATAACTTTGCAGTACCGACGTCGTCAGGGCCTTAAGTAGAGCAAACCTCCTGCCTTACCTTCCCTACAGCTGGGCTCCAACCAGTGTGGAGACCCTGTAACACACCTCCCATGGGAGACGGGGCCCAGGCTCGTGGCCAACATCCCCCCCTGGCACCACACGAAGTCAGATTGTCCCCACACCTCCCTAATACAAACACCGAGAGCCAACGTCAACCTTTTATTGGCATTTCACCACCCAGTTTGCTCATAGGACAACGAGGCGATCAGCTCAGGCAGCACATACCAGCTGGTTGATTACAACTTCCTTCTAAAAAGCTGGCAACCATGGACCAAATCCAAAAGCCCAAGGTAGCCCAATTCTGAGTCCCCTTCCTTCCCCCAAACCCACCCGCCAACACCTTGCACCCCTGCCAGAAGCACAGAACAAAAGGAATAAACACCTCTCCATTCCCTCCTCTCCTCGCCAGTTTGGAGGACCCGATGTGGCAAGGTTTGTTTGCAATCCTTGGAATGCAAAATAAGCTCCAAAAAAAAAAAAAAAGAAAAAAAAAGGTGGGGGGAGTTTGAGTTTGACATTCTTTCACCCTCCCACAATCACAGACGGGTCTGGATTTAAGCTGCGGGGCAGGTCTGTGCCCTGCAAGGCTTCCCCATTAATAATAATTAGCGACCGAGCGGCGCAGCCCACGACGGAGACGCGATCACATGCCTTCCAATATGAAGGCACAACCCGGCAGGTCCCCGCAGCCCTCGCTGCCAGCCCCTGCTGCTGTCACTTCATGTCACCGCCCTGACAGGAGACAGGGCCCTTCTTTATATAGGTTCTCCAGTCGGGAAAGGTCAGTCCTTCTCCAACCCCTCCCCGCGGATCCGCAGGAAGCGGTTTGAAGCCATCTCGTGTCAGTGGTTTTAACTCGGCTGCTGCTTTTGAATCGATTCCAACAGTTTTTACTCCATCCGGTCTCTCCCGGTTCCCCCGGGGGCGGCAGGAAGGACTGGGCTGGGTTTGTCCTACCTCCGTCCCCGTCCGTGGGCTCCGTCCAGCTCCCGGCTCCAGGCCTATGGCTCCTCCAGCCACAAATCCATCGCGCTCCATGGGTGCAGCCTCCACCCCGGAGCATGCTCAGTTACCAGCTGAGCCTCAGCCATCTCAGAGCTTTAATGAAATGTAAGCATAAGGAAGTGTCATTAGCAAAAAAAAAAAAAGAAAAAAAAAAAAAAAAAAAAAA